GAGGCTGCCATTCCTGGTTCTTTTTTCTTTTTTTGGAAATGGGAGTCTTACTCTGTCACCCAGGCTGAAGTGCAGTGATGCAATTCTGGCTCACTGCAACCTCTGCCTCCTGAGCTCTAACGATTCTCATGCCTCAGCCTCCTGAGTAGCTGGGATTACATGTGCCTGCCACCACACCCAGCTAATTCTTGTATTGGTAGCAGAGACAAGGTTTTACAGTGTTGGCCAGGCTGATCTTGAACTCCTGATCTCAAGTGATCCACCTGCCTCGGCTTCCCAAAGTTCTGGGATTACAGGCATGAGCCACTGCACTCAGCCCCCTTCCTATGTAATTTCTGATGTGCATTAATCACCATCTCTATAAAAATGGTGATTATTATACAGCTGACCTCCCCACCTACATCCCCTTCTAAGAGAACCTGGTTTCTACTACCAGTCCTGGTACCTAAGTCTGTACTATGTTCCTTTCTTCCTCATCACAGCCCATTAGACAACAAGTAGCCTGTGACTCTCTGGGCTCATTCCCTCCAGATTTTGTGGAGCCTGTTAAGTTCCAGGCACACAGAATGAACCCCACCAAGAGACAGGGCCATCTCAGAGCTAAAGCTCCAGGGAGGGAAGAGAAGCCATAAACGTGCAGACAAGGCCAGGTGTCTGCAGAAGAATAGAGCACAGGGGCAAAGTCACAAGGACATGAGACCACAGAGCTCCCTGGGAAACAAAGGACAAGCATGACCATGCCTGAGATTCCCAGTTCAGTCCCTGGAGGGCACCAGAGCCCCAAAATAGGTAAAGCAGAAACTGCCAGAACTACAAGTAGAAAAACAGCACATCCACAGTCCCATGGGAGATTTTCACACACCTCTCAGCAGCTAATAGAACAAGCAAGAAACAAATCAGTAAGGTTATACCATCAAATAGCAAAAGACATGAGGAAGCCAGATTACCTGCAATATTTTTAGAAAATGCTAGAAGCATTTTGTCTATATAAAGCAACAAGGGTTCTTAACATTCCTTTCCATAACACAGAAAAGGTGACAACAAAAATCTCCACAACAGAAAATTACTAGACCACAGTTATCTAAAGAGAAGACCAGTGAGAGCCAGGTATGCCAGGGAGATGGTGAAGCTCCCAGATGCAACAAAATCCAGTTTTCTTCGTAGTGTAATACCTAAAACATACAGTTATCTTCTGTTTCCAAGATTGAGCTTAATCTTTTGATTGACCAGCCTGGCCAACATGGTGAAACCCCGTCTCTACTAAAAATACAAAAATTAGCTGGGCATGGTGGCGTGCACCTGTAATCCCAGCTACTTGGGAGGCTGAGACAGGAGAATCACTTGACTCTGGGAAGCGGAGGTTGCAGTGAGCTGAGA